TATATTTATATATGTGTATACCATATATTTCAATTTTTTCTAACTGTATTGCATAAATTGTAACTTATAGAAAGTTACGTGATAAGAATCGAAAATATATACATTCATGATACTTACATTACTAAAATGCTGCTCCGTATATCTGTACTCTGAAAAGTAACTGATATATTATTAATAAAGATGCCAGTGAATATACATAAAGTGTATATTATTTAAATATATTAATATATTACCATGAAGAATAACTGATTTGTCAGTTTCATTATAAGTGATATGTCATTATCAGAGATATGTCATTATCAGTTTCAAGTTCAAAATGAAAATACATACATATAAGTATAACAGATTACAATTTGATTCTAGAAAATAAGTGCGATATGTTATTCTTAGTGCATAAAATATAAAAGTCGTTTATTGAGATTTGATTTGAAATTTATACTAGCCCGTACAATGAAAAATAATTGCTTGTAATTCCAGAGTACCAATTTGTTAATGACACGGAAAAAGAACATGGCGGCCTGCTCTCAAAAAACTTTCGAGAGATGGAAATAAATAATTGAAATATAAGAGTTATGAAAATGGTTTAGATTAAAAGCCTCCCATCTTTTTTTAGTAAAATTTCGAATTTTCGTATCAACTTCCAATTTTTGGTTTGTTATGCCGTATTTTCAGCGAGTAATTTATTGATCAAAAAACGTTGCCTTATTACCTGAAATGAATAAATATTAAGTAAACTCAAAATTTATAAATAAGAAGTTCTCAAGTTAAGTACAGAGAAGCTATTCAGTTAAAGAGTTTAGTGATTATTTGACATAATATACATATATTCACTTCGTTATAGAGCTTTTGAAATACCGTTCTAATGTAATACTTTTCGTATTTCTAAATCTCAATAAACGACTTTTATATTTTGTGCACTAAGAATAACATATCGTACTTATTTTCTAGAATCAAATTGTAATCTGTTATACTTATATGTATGTATTTTCATTTTGAACTTGAAACTGATAATAACATATCAGTTATTCTTCATGATAATATATTATTATATTTAAATAATATACATTTTATTCACTTTGAACTGGCATCTTTATTAATAATATATCAGTTACTTTTCATGGTAATATATTATTTTAGATAATCTATTCTAGATAATTTAAATTTATAAAAGTTAAATTTTTGAGGATGTTTTTTTGAACATGGCCTGACCTTTTTATTTTTATGATTTTTTAGGTAATTCTATTTAAAAAAAATGATTTAATATTTTTATTTAAATTTAAATCAGATATGTATAAAATTATGATAGAAACATTTATAGTGATTTTTTTCGAATATCTGTAATCAATAAAATAATATATCTAGATATTAATTAAAATTTTTTTATAAATAATATATTTTTGATATTATTCCTTATAGTTATAGATAATACAAAAAAAATAACAGAAAATACAAATAGCTGTAACAATAATTTGTATTATGGAAGAAATAAATTAGCTTTTTAGTTGATAAGAATATACCTAATTATATTACTTTTAAAAAGATAAAAAAAAATTGCATTTATAACGATAATGTTCTTGTATAGTTCGTACTTAATGTAATCATTCTTTCGTTTCATGTTAAAAAAAAATTATTTAAATTTGAGCTAAATTCTTATGCTAAATTTGAGAAAAAAACATTAATAGAGATTTTATAAATTTTATAAAGTATATTATAAATTCAATAAAACAATATATTAAGGTATTGAAGTTTAAATTTATAAATTACATGTACTTTAAACTTATAGTCATTCTAATTTTGTATAGCAATACAAAAAAAATAAGGAGAAGTACAAGCTATAGTATTAATAAACATAAAAATCTAATAGAATGTAATTCAAATTTAAATAAGATAACAAATACTTCTTCCAAGATTTTCTGATTATCAATCATAAAGTAATATTTTATTTTAATTTCATTTTTTAAATATTTTATTTTAATAAATTGTCAATAAATTTCATTACTCAATATTTATAATTTAATTTATAATAAAATTTGTAATAAAACTTATATTATGTATCTACAAGTCCTACAAAATATTGTAAAAGACATTTTAAATCAACTCACTTATCTCACCAAATGTTTGCCAATATATAAAACATTTGGCAACAAGAAACTTTATATTAAATAATAAAATATTCCATTTCGATGTTGAAATGCAAAGTAATATGAAATAATATTAATCAAAGATTGTAATAACATTAAAAATAAATTGTAAAATATTTGCATTGTTCATAATAATTGTAGTAAATACTGAATATGCTCTGTAAAATAAATATAACGTAATATTAAGAAAAGATAAAAAACAAAGAAATGCATAAAAACTAGATAATAAGTTAATAATGCAGATAATATTAATGGCAATAGTTTCGAGTGATAACAATAGTATATAAATTGAACTTGCTGTATTCTTTAAAAACCAGAAAGAAGTTCTCGAAGGAAATATTAAAAAGCATAAGAAATAATAAAAAGTATAAGAAAAGCATCATGGCTGTAATTTTCCCGTTGTATTTTGCCGTAATTTTGGCGGGAATATTTGCTAATACAATCGCAATAGATAATTATTGCAGTGTAGAAACGTGTGAAATTAAAGGGCCTCATACAATGTGTACTTACACCGTAAGTAGATTACACGTGTTATATGTATACGTATATATTATTTTTAATAAGTTGAAAAGAACATAAAGCTTTTCCCATATACAGGAAGTTTTGTGTTCTCCTCAACTTAATAAAAATATATAATTTATTTAAAAAAGTATCTTATTTCACACATCTAAATAAGAATATTTATTTTTCTTCCTTAGAAGATCGTTGAGATCGCTTTGTAAGAAACAATTTGATATATGTATTAAAAATGTGCTTAGTTAATTGTACAAAATTATGTCGTAGTCTCCAGAACCATCGGCAACATGCAAACAAGTATATAAAGTTGGTGTTACTAATGAAGACATAGACTCAATATTAACTATACACAATAAACTGAGACAAAGAGTAGCATTGGGTCAAGAATCTAGAGGAAATCCTGGTTGGCAACCTAAGGCAGTTGACATGCCAAACTTGGTAAGACGTAACATATAATATATTATTACAGTAAATTAAAATATAAACAAAAAGACATCGAATAAGTATGTTTAAATTTATTTGAAATAATTAAATGTTTATTTAAATTTTTTAAAAAGAAGTATATAAAGTTGTGATTTAACTATGATAGCTTTGACTTAAAGATTCAATCATTTTTTTATAACATCTTTTATAAACTAAAAATTGGTGTAATAACGGTTAACCAATACTAATTTAATTAATTTTTTCCGTAAAGAGTTTAAATAATAACTTTGTGTTTATTTACGTACCTAAGGCAAATGTATAAAGACGTAATAAATTTCCTTCAAATAGTTCACAAGTCATGAGAAAATTTAGAAAGTGAAAAAACATTATCTATAATTTTATATGTATATCATGCAATACAAAAAGAATATATAGTACATATACTTAAAAAAAATATTTTTTTATTTCAAATTAAAATTTATACAATACATGTAACGATATATAAAATTATGAATAAACTTTTGTTCGGACTTTTGGAACTTGTGTGTACCTAAATACGTATGTGCAAATATACATATACTGATGTACACTACCGTTTATAAATTCAGAAATGTTTACAATTTGCTCACATCTCACATCTTACTAAGAAAAAAAATAATCGTAGAGCGGTATTCATTCTTATTTCAAGATTGTCTTAAGTAATGTCTTAAGACGCTAATACGATCCTCTGATTAATTCGTGACTTCTTAAGATTATATTTAAAACGGTCTTGAATATAAGATCTGACTATGAATACCGGCCGTAGAGAAGTGTTTAAAAATACATTATCCGTTTTGAATTTTAATTTTGTTTCTACACTGTAAAAAAAATCAGGAAATTCAACTCGAATTGATATAAATCAACTCAATCTCAGAGTTAAATATGGCGAACTAACTGTCAGGTTGCGTCAAGAAAAATTTTAATTTCCTTTAATATCTCTTCCTTGTGATAAATAAACATTGAATTTTGATTCGCATAAATTTTTTAAAAACTTTTTAAAGACGTTTTTGTAATTTAATTTTTCATGAGATGCGCGAAAATTATTCCTGAACTTATAAGCAGTAGTGCATACATTTATGTACTTTTTCACATACACACAATATTATATTATATGAATACACGCTCATATATACATTCTCTTAGACCTGGAATAAGGAATTAGCAAACATTGCGCAAAGATGGGTCAATCAATGCAATTATGGTCATGATGCATGTAGAGATATAAGTAGGTACCGATTTATAACTGTCACTTATAGTTGTAAATTAAATGTACGAATTATTAATTTGTTTATTATTTTTACTTAAATGCATTACAGATAAATATCAAGTTGGTCAGAATGTAGCCCAGTCATATTCTTCTGGAGAAAACGATTACACTATGCAAAATTTTATCGATTTATGGTACAATGAAGTAGAAAACTTTGATGCAAGAAGAGTTAACCAGCCATTTAAGTAAATATCTTTTTAATATTAAATATTCTAATGCATATAGATCTTACATATAGATTTTAAATATATTTGCAAATATACTGCGATATAAATTAATTCTTCAAATCGTAAAAAAAGTCTTGTACATATCTGCATCATATTTATATACTGTATTTATAGTATACTTTATAGAGATATCTATATATTATATATAAGAAATGATATTAAACTATTATAGTATCAATTAAATACCTTTGAAGATATATTTATGATAACGTTTTTAATACGATTATAAAATAAATTATTTGTAGAATGCAAGCGGAGACAAGTCATTATACCCAAATAGTCTGGGCTGAAACAAAAGAAGTTGGTTGCGGATTTATGACGTATAAGAATAATCAATGGAATACGAGCTACCTAGCTTGCAATTACGGTCCAGGTGGAAATGTAATAGGTGGGAAAATGTATGAAATTGCAAATTAAGTAAATCCAATTGAAAGATTTGAAATATAATAGAAGAAGCGACTAACATAGAAAAGCAAATAGGAAACTACATATATTATCAGTAAAAACATACAGTTGCAACTGTCATAATAATATTAATAAAGAGTAAAATAATATTTTCTTCTTTCTTTTATTGTCTTTTTTTCTCTTTCTACTAATGCTTAACATCAAATTTTTCTATAAATTGTCTTTGTTAAGTATAGTTTTCTAACATAAGACAAAAAATAACAATATACATAATTTTTGCTGTTTTAATATACCTAGAAATTATTATTTAAATTATTATTACTTTAAGTTATTATAGAGAGAAATGAATCATTTTATTAATGGTTTTAATTATTAGTTAATAAAATATCTACTTATTATGTTATATATTACATAAAAACAATTTTTTGGTTATTCATAAATTTTACGATTTCACAATTGACGATATTATTTTATGACTGAAGGTCGAGAACAGAGATTACACATATCCGTCACAATTGTAAAATAAAATACAAATAAGGAAAAGTAAAGTACACATAAATCATGTTAAAAAGTAACACTAGAAATTTAATGATAATGATAACATTGTAAAGAACACGTAAATCATTAAGTAACTTTCTTATCTAAGATTTTTGTGCACGTACTGTAACTACATTTTCAATGTTTCTTCCTGAAACGTTTCATCTGCTCGAATTGCATCCTGATCCAACAGCCCCCTCGATTAACGAATTACATTACTCGCACCTTCTTCCGTTTACAAACTACTCATCCCCGCGGGCAGTCCAGACTGTCGTGATGATTCTGCGAGTGATCCGTAGCTTTCAGGTGCGCGCAACGAGGAACGTCAGCGCGTATTCATCGTCTTTGAATTGCGAATGGATACAAGCGATCCATACATCAGAAAGTCAGCGGCGCCCCGGGTGTGCCCGTGGCTTCCTGGTGAGTGCGAGAACACACTCGTCCTCGCGAGGGAGAATGCGAAAGATCTCCCGATGAAGAAGCGGTATCTGCGTAAGGCAGAAGGAAAGGTGGCTGGCCATTAGGGGTTCTAAACGCTTTTTAAAACCGGATTCTAGGAGGAACGTATCGAGTGTCAGACGCGTAACAATGACGCGGGCAAACATTCCGATATACAGGCCCACCCGCGGCGTGCATCGCTGCACAAGGGAAGCGATCTGCGACATGGACAACATAACGCGCAGGTAATGTTTGGACGTGCGTAAAAGGCGAAGAGAATGAACGGCGACGGCGAAAGCGGAAGAATTTGTATCCGCTGACAGCGATTTCCTCGAAGCAACAGCTATTAGAGAGAATTGAAACGATTGTGAATTCATTGTGAATTTAGGGCGTAAATATTACTCGCAATTGCTGCATCCAATATAATACGCATAAGAATTGTTAATGTATATAACAACAAAGGACCCTGCGCTAATTATATAGTAAATTGGATTCCAGTAAAATGGATTAGTTTTCACATATAATATAACTCTTATAGAAATATAATACTAGCCAATACAGAAAAATAGTAATTATATCTACTTATTTTAAATATTAAAAGAATTATTGTTCAGTATTTTTAGTACTTTAAAAAATAATTAATTATTGTCTTTCAGTAATATATTGGTCACTGTTAAATTTTTATAAGGAAATATGGGGAACAAAAGACGTCATAAACACAATAAAGCTCAATAATAGATAGTTTGTAAACTATTGTGGCGTATCAAAGCTCTATGAATAGAAGTTTTATACCTTTGAAACATTATCCTTAATAGCAATTTATTGGCGATACATTGGTTAAGTTTCGATGATATATTGGACCAATATTGTGCCAATAATTGCATTACTAGGGATAGCTCGAAAACTATTCATTATTAAGCCTTATGTCTATAACACTTTCTATTCATCACATTATAAGGTAGATCATATAGGTATATAGTCCGATTCACGCTTACAATGCTTAAGAATCATTTCATTCTTGTTGTTTCTCAAATATTAAATAAGGACAAATGATGCTCACGAGTGCCGTAAGCGTGAATCAGACCGCTGTCTATGTATGAAAACTAATTAACTAATTTCTTATTAATCGGGACGCAATTTTTCATATATAATTAGGGTCTTTTACTTAATAAGTAAAAAAAAGTCGCAATTTGCCTGCAGATGTTTCTCACATTCTGCACGTGCCATAAAACATCGACTTCAACTTCGATGATACATACTTCAATGGTAAGTCGTTAAATTACACGCAGAAAGATTATTATCATTTGAATAGAAATTGTAAATTCTTTATTTTTATTTTATCTGAAAAAAAATAGAGTTTGAAGCAAAATAATCCGTTTTTTTGTTGGCAAGTACAAAAGTAGAAAGTGACAAAAGATGCTACAAATATTTGGCGGACGTAGTCGACTTAATAATAATAGATTATCAGTGTAACCTGAGAGATTAGGGTAGACTTTTCTAGGGCCGTAATCCGGATGCATTTAAATAATCGTTTAACCCAAGGTTACCCTTCGGTTATAAGATTTGGAACAGGCCAGACCAAACAAGTCACCTGCCAATCTGCATGGGACAATAAAAAAAGGAACAAAGAAGAAATCATAAGATGCATTATTTGTAAAAAAAAGTTCAAAATCCATGAAGATTTTTTTCTTTTCAATTAAAAAACTCTAAAAAATACTTAATGAAAAAATATCTAAAAGGATGAAACTTAACTGGCTATTAGAAAGAGGAACTTTTAGAAGAGAGAAAAGAGAACGAAGTTTCGTATCTTCGGAAAAGAACTATGAAACTTATTGTTAGTACAATAGATGAAGCGGGACAGAGACCGAGAAGAAAGATTCGTGCTCTAGAGAAAGAACTCTAGAGAGCTCGCGATCATATATCTATTGGTCGGTAGGGGGGTGTCAACGAGCCCAACAAAGTCCCAGCGGGGTTTCCGCTACCCGAATTGCTACCGGCACTCCCCGTGTGAGAATCTGGTACACTTAACGCTAAGCTACCGCAGCAGCTCCCGGATTATCCAGTTCTGTCAGTTGCGATCGTATCCATGTCATGTTCCGGACAGAAATTGACAATCGCGTGCCACTCATAATCCGTTTTGAATCTAAAATTCGCTTCTTAGCGTGTGTTCAATTGCAGTTAAGGCTTAAAAGGCTTAGAAAAGAATATCGAGATATTGATGACTTACTTAAACGATTAAAAGAAAGATACACATTGGTGAATTGTATTCTTTTGGGGAAGCAATTAAATAACAAAGTTTTAATCTTCTATCATACAATACTTCATTAAAAATAATAAACTAATGAATATTAGAGTAAAATATTTAATATTAAATATATTTACAAAGAAAAAATATATTTTATATAATTAGTTTGTCATTAACTGTACAGCCATAAAAAAATCATTTTGCAAACTATTGGGAAATTGTAATTATCAAGTAAAAAAACGATACAAATTCAAATCAAATATATAAAAGATTTCTGAAGAAATGAATTACATTCAATTTTTTTTTTAATTCTTTGATTTGACGAGTGAGCATATCATCCTTTCATACTTCCCTCGGAATCACAGATTCATATACGTAACCGCGAAACATCCCATAAAAACGTATTGTAATGAAAAAAAAGGCGGAAAAAGAGCACGGACACAGAGACGCGTGTGCGTTTCCGAGGGCGAAAGGGCGCAACCCACCGTTCTTCCCCTACATCCTTTACAGTGCGTCGCATAAACGAGCAAGGGGTTCTCTATTACATGAGGGGTTGCAATCAGTGCGGTTGGTGACGCCATCTTGAATTTAATCGCCGGGAAAATGGTGGTAGTCCCGAGGCAACGTTGATGGACGAATATCGTTGCCTGATTTAAAATATTATAGATTCATACTTATGCAAAGAAATAGTGCATAAACTTATCAGGGAAATATTGCAATTACTATTTGGACATAATACAATATTAATATTAACAGAGAAAAGAGTATAATATTACTATAAATTATTATAATAATCTAATCATCTGCTAATATTTTATAATTAAGAAAATATATTAAGAAGGAGCAATAGATACGAATTAAAAATTGTCATGTGTAATTTAAATGCTCAATTGTTGCAATAATAAAATACTGATTATTTAATAAAAGTTAATTCATTTCATTTCTGTGTTTTAATTAGAGTTGTACATTTTAGAGAATTTAAGAATATTCAGTACGCTAAAATAAAAATATATATGCAAAGCAATGAGTTATTATATTCAAATTAAACACTATCGATATACTATAAATATTTATTTCAACAGTAAATTACTTAATTATATAACAAATATAATATATAAATTTAATAAATATATATAAAATATGCATTTTTCAAATATATTCAGTCTTTGATTATTTACACCTAACATATAATTTTATACACATATATGTACAGTTAACATATTACTTTCCTAAAATACATTATTGTTACATCTAACTTATATTAAGAGTATATAATAAACTCTAATTATAAGTACTATCTATTTCAATAGTTACACAAGGCAAAATACGGTAAAACTTTGTTTGAAAGACAAAAATCTCATAGCTGAAGAATTTAAGGCAATTTTGGCAAAATGTCTCTAGAATTGTTCAAAGTTATAGTTAACAAAACAATAATAGCCAAGACAATTGCCAACATTCGCTGAGAGGATATGACGCTAAAAGAAGAGATGAAAATTTATATTATATTACATAAGTATACACATTATATTACATAAATATATACATTATATGAAAGAAAAATTGAGAAAAAATAGAAGTTAACATAGAAACATCTACAGAAATGGAAATCTTGGTTTGTAAGATGAACAGAGATGGCAATAATTAAATTGTTTTTTACGTTAAATTAGTTATAAGTTAGATAAATCGCAAATAAAAGCTAAGTTAGATTATAAGTAGAAACAAGTATATAATGTAACACAGAAGTCTTGTAAACCAATTGAGAAACGATAAAAACTACATGAACGTACAAATTGTACTACATAAGTATTTATATTATTTTACGTTAAATTAGAGTAAAAGAACATAAGATAAATAATAAAGTAATATGTTTCGAGAATTCATTCAATTTAAAAATGAAACACCTTAATGATGTTAGATTGACTGCATAAACTGCATGATTATATTGTACTATCGTAGTGATTGGAATTTACAATACAGCGTTATCGGACTAGTATATTACACTGTAAAATACATGAACTTATTCTAACTTATTTATCTAAATTTGCAATTTATCTAACGATGCAAAATATTCGCGTTATTTTCCCTTTCGTATGATAAATTTGTCGTGACAAACTCAGAGAATATCGAGCTCACAGTCTATAGTATCTGAATTTGCGATTACCATCGAATTAATTGATGCAAAACCCTTCGAACTTCTTGTCAAAATTCTCCAAGCATCGAAAGCTAACTGTACGTTTATTGTCAATTTAAACATTAAATTTATTTATTGTCAAAATGATCACTGTGTTCGACTTTTTATCAGAGATCCAACGTCAGATCTGATAAAGATACGGCGAAAGTTCGGTGGATTGTTGAAATGGATAACTTAGAGAAGCGATCATGTCTAATGCCGCTGTGGAAACACGATACGAGTCGCGTACCTCATGAGTCCTCATATGCTTCTTGAGGTGATCTTTGCGTCCAAATCGCTTCTTGCAAAAGACACAAGAGTAAGGCCGAACGCCAGTGTGAATTCGTTTGTGTCGCGTCAATTCCTCATTTCTAGTGAACCGTTTCCCGCAGGACTCAACGTCACACTTGAACGGTCTTTCACCTGTAGGAACGAAATCCTATATATATGTTCTGTCAAAATGATCATTCATATTTGCCTAAATTTATTCGGATGGTATCCAAAGATTATTGCCGATATTTTTCTCAAATACAAATTAGAAGGATAATCATGAATGTTTGCGCACAAATTTATTACGCGAAGTAAGCAATATTAACCGAAAACAAAATATACAAAGTGGACATAGAAACTCTTTTTTCAAATGATAAATCTCTCTAAAAATATTTTAAATAGCGAGTATTTTAAATGTAAGTGTTGTCTATGTAGGAGAGTTACAGATACTTTGCAAAGTATTTATACATTAAAAGAGGATACAAATATTACAAAGGTTTCCACTGTGACAAACTGTGTCTATCTTTTGTAATTAAGAAATTCTTTATCGCAGCTTCATGTAAAATAAGATAAAAAGAGTAAAATACAATAAAAGTAAAATAAAATAAAGAGAACAACTTGCCCCCCAAACTAAATTTGAACGTTCTGTCTAACAAAATACTATTACATAAAAAATAAGACTGTTTTATAGAAATGTTTAAAAATGTTCTCTAAGAAACGTTTCTTATATATGATTATTTTTTTACTCATACAACATTGTATAAATTTATAAATTATTTATACTAAAGTTTTTAACTAACCAGTGTGTATGCGAATATGTCCGGTAAGCTGGCCGCCGTTACTAAATGCCATACTGCAATGTGGACAGTTGTGTTTCTTTGGGCGCATTTTTTTCATCTCTTTAGCAACAACATCCTGCCGATGCACAATTTGCACCGCCTCTTCCACGGAATGATTATAAAGATTTAGAGGAAAGATTCCAGGATAGATCCCAGACTGAAATCCGGAATGTATCACTGGATAGACACCGGGATGTATCCTGGGGACATCGGGAAGGCGTGATTCTGAGCTCCCAGTCCATGGTCCTGAATTTGCGGTCATCGAATAAGTTCCGATAATCGAAGTAAAATCCTCCGATGGTCGAAGTTCTCTTAGCGTCGAGAAATAGTTCGGCGAAATAACATCACTAGAAGCGTTGAACTTGTCCGAATCTCGAGTAGAAATCGAGCGCGACATCGGAGTAATTGAATCCAGCGGTTGTTGTGGATGGAAGACACGTGAGTTGTCCTTCGCACTTTGCACGATGCCAGCGGAGGCATCTTCGTCTTCGAGGGATGGCGTAGTTCTGGTTGCTACTTTACCGAAGGATTTGCTTCCTCTTATTCGATGAAAACCGGTCAACGATGTTGAAGTCGCCGTTTCTTGATCCAACAAATTGCCATCACAGTCATCAGACATTTCGATAGTATTCGTCAAAGTTGTCGATGTCGTTGAGGACACAACTTGTTCGTCGTCTTCCTGCCTGCTGCATGGCGTATTGTGGAGTGCGTTGTCAATCGTGATATCGATTTCGGAAGCTTCGTTTGTTGTTTCCAGATCATTCCAAGGTCGAAATAAACCCATTGTCTTCGGTTTGGACATCTTGAGAAAAACTAAGGATGTTGAACACTACTTCCTCTGTCACGTAAGACTCCAGTGTGTCGTATATGGGACAGTCAACACGACAATAAGAGCTGTTCAAAGGTAACTGAATATAAATCTAGGCTCACCCCGATCTTATACTTATAGAAATATTTTCCCCTGCCTATGGCCTTTTGGGGGTCGAGCCAATCCACTTTAGGGATGGAGGAGGGAGGGATCGTCCTAAAGCATCGGTTGCAGGAGAATGAAAGCATGGACGCCGTTGGCAGTAAGGCCGTAGGTGGGTTTAGAGGGGCCTGTCGAGGGCTCGATGCGAGATACGCAGCCCCTTTGTAGAGAATTAATCGGTCGCTGCGGCCACGGGGCTCTCGCCCCTTTTGTTACGAGGGAGCACGAGTGCAGGCCGAAGGAGGGGAGGGACATGAAACGATCAGCGTGGAAAGTCAGCACGGTTGGAAAGGCAGAGAAAGATGCAGAACCGATACGAACGAATGATATCGAAGGGTCGCAAGACCTACAGTAGGTCCACCCCGTTCACTCGAGCATATCGCTTTCTTCAAACTGTTTCGACGAGGCACGCCCGTGACACAAAATTTCACATCGACGCTGATTATTATTGGTTACAGAAGGGTTATAATCCCCGACTATTCTCATATAAGCGTGGGAGATATTGGTACAGATGAAATGTTTCTTATTCAAACGATGTTAATCCAATAATCATTGTTATCATTTTTAATAATGCTATTATTCATTAAATGATATAATAAATAATATTTTTATTCATTATTTATTATATGCTAAGTATTTTTAAAATTCCTGCCGTTTTTTCGTCTCCAAAATTGATTTGTTTCGAAGGGAAGATGAATGAATGAACCTTAATCAAAGTAATTTCCTCCATTTTCTACTACTTTTTCCCATCTCTCTGGTAACAGGGCAATCCCACGACGATAGAACGCGGTGTCTTTCGAGGCGATCCATTCATCCACCCATTTTTGGACTTCGTTGTAACTGGAGAAGTGTGTGTCCGTAAGTGCGTGTTGCATCGATCGGAAGAGATGCTAATCCGACGGTGCCAAGTCTGGAGAGTACGCTGGATACGGGAGAACTTCCCATTCAAGCTCTAAAAGTGTCTGCTTCACGCTTTTCGCGACATGTGGTCGAGCGTTATGCAACAAAATGACTTTGCGTCGATTGTTGGCTACGGATGATCATTTTCAATCGATTGGAAAATCTCTTTGGCGTCGAGAAATCTAATCTGTGAGGATTGAATCACTTTCAGAGATGTCTAAACTACAAAAGACATATGACTTCATCGTCGAAACTCCCCAGCGTTGGAGCCAGCACTCTGTAGTAGCGAGTGGCAGCAATTAAGTTCAACACTTAATATATTATAAGACATAAATTGAATGCATTTGAAATAAATTTATAACGCTTCAATAATAAATTCAGTACAAATAAAATGTTTATCTAAGCCTCTGCGGTTGTTAGTGCATACATTATATTTATAAGGCGATAAGCTGTAATTCGCAAGCATTGGTTGTACGAATTTATTAATGAAGTTAATACATATTTTTATCTCTGAAGTCATCACATTCAGAATATGTTTACTCACACTTGCGAAGTAAAGAAATAAAAATATTCTTGAAAGTATCAAGATGTAGATGCGCCTTTAGGCTATCATATGTCCAGTCATATCTGCGAAACCAGATTATACAAAATGCATTGATTCTGTGCAAAAATGTCTTTTTTGTCAGCAAAATAATAGCATAAATATAATAAATTCTATTAATTATAATGGCAGATATAACATATAATGGCAGATTGATTATCAGAATCTGCTAGCGATCTACTTATTTCGGCAGACTCTGTTGAGGCAGAATATGTTTAATGCAATTGATTTAATGGCCTGTTTTCAGAACGCGCTTTTATCGATAAAAGAACGCTTTTATCTCTAAAATTCTATAATATGCGTGACGTAAAGTATAGTATGTTAGCGCGCTAACATCGTTGTAAGCGCGTTCTGAATACGGGCCAATATCTTTAATATACTGATTATTTGTACATATATGTTACGGGCAAAGTCCGCAAGTGGGCAATGTCGACATTGCCCGAGTTGCCTACTGTACAATGTCAGCATTGCCCACTTTGCTCGTAACATATACACCAAAAATCTTTGAGGATAGTACTTCGCAAAAGCATGTCATTGATTTATTGTAACATTCGAAGAGACAAAGAAAATGAAAGAGTCGACCCTCAGTAACAGATAGCCACCCCCGCCGATTCACGTCACTCACCCTCTTCTTTTCAACCATCGGCTGTTTCATTTTTATCGGCTGTTTCGCTTGCATCAATTGTGACGACACTCTTCTATCAAAACGATGTTTCTATGAAATCGACCGAGAGCCATTGATGGGCCTTCGACTATGCCCTTCATCGCATTCATCACAGCGTCGCTCATTTTGCAAAGGTCCTGTCGCTTGAATTTTGCGCCATCGTACAATCTTCGTGATACCATAAGTCAGACAATTTTCATAGTATTAATAAATAGATCTTAATGGCAATATTTACAGACCATATAACTTGTTAAAATAAATCTTCTCTCTGGAATTTTCTTCCATCATTTCTTCCAATTTATTAATAAAATGTGAGTTAATACACAATTGTGTAACAATTATTTGCTTAAAAATAAATAAATAAATAAATATAAGTTGTGATGTATATTTGTAAATTCTTCTTAAATAAATACAAGATTAATTAATTATAAATATTTACATTTAACCATGTATAAATATTAATTTTATATCTTAAAAAATCGTTAATTATAGAATCAATTTATAAAGAACTTTATCCCGAATTTATTTATAACCTGGACCATTTAACAAAAAAGCTAACTCTTTAGAAATCTTATAACACTCTCAATTGTTGTATTTACCCCTTTTTCATATTTATTATTGTTCCCAGTACTTATAAATTTAGTCAAGTAATTTATTACCATATCTACGAGATAATGAAAATCATTCTAAAGGCTGAAAGCTCAAATTTTTCAACAATTTAAAATACCTTTCTTTTTTCTTTTCTTTATTTGCGTATACTCTTTGAATAGATGTCAACGTGATGATTGATCAGATCTAAGAAGTTACTTCAGTTTTCTTTTTACTAACAGTTCTCGATTCGTCTTACTTAGAATGACGGATTTCACAACAGCCGATTACGGCTACCGTGTGTCAAGTTGAAGTTACGTCTTTTGCGGTAAAAGGATACGAGGTTGTGTTGACTCAACGACCGTCGCGGGTTTTTGCTTGCAGTCAATGAATGCCTAAATCTTTTCTACCTGCCATTACTTGTTACCATTTCCGAAATTCACAGAGTATTCACTACTTACACAGAAGTTAATAATTCTGGACCAATAATATAAGTTGAAATTTTATTATATAAATACATTTGAGACTAAACGATATTGATCCTTCTCATAATCTCGAATAATTTGCGATTCTTAAATTTGTTTCCTAAAACAAGATGTGAAGATATTATCTAAATTACATTATATACTAGAGTTTATAAGCAATCAAACTCCGCCTTCCTATCTAATCAAATTTCTAATTTTAATCTGAAATCCAAAATTAAGTTCTTAACATTTTGTATACCATATGTTGATGATTTCATAAAAAAATTAACAAGAATAAGTAGCAGACACGGCTATTTGAACGACCGTGTTTCGAAACTGTGTATTAAAAGATCCATCAAACGAGTACCTTTTGCATGATAGTTTTACGCCCCATGCACTACAATTGTTACAAATTGGTCTATTCTGATTGAAATAGAAAAAAGAATATGAGTGATCGTGGGTGCATCGCTTTCATTTCGTAATATCGTTTCCTGGAGTTTCATTGTACGCCCGTCAATGACCGATGATGGATCAGGCGTCTACAAATATCGTACATTTCTACCCAATCTCGCCGAATTTATTGAGAGCACATTTTTTGCGGATTGCTGCGATTTAGAAAGGTATTGTGTTTATAGTAGGCAAAAACTTGCGTCACACAAAAATATGGAGCGTTGTGGCTGTCCGACGGGCTTTGCATTTAATATTTAATTGTCGTATACTTGTCGTACACTTCATAATTTTGCCAGCTTTTGAAATATAAAATATAAAATCGCTAAAATATAATTCTAATATTAATATTACATTGATTCTATCAAAATTTATTTGCAATTAATCGATACGTAGATATTTACTTGCATCGCATAAAAATATGTTTAAAAATGTGTTTAGTCTAAGGCGTTTATGACTAAAAAATTGCTAATATTTCTCAACATATACATGTATACATAAGAAGAAAATTTTGTTGAGAAAATATTTATATTTTGAATAAAACTCTCCAGAAGTACTGGAGTCTTTCTCAATTGAATTGAAAATCATATAACTATTTCCATGTAATAATTTTCTATATAATAATGGTATATTTACTATACTAATTGTAAGTATTTGATTTTAGCTACGCAAATTTTAACAAAATATACACAACAAAAGTATAAATAAAAAAAAAGTAAAAAATATAAATACCTATATATGTGTATATGGTTTAATGCTTTGAATATTTAAGCAAATATAGGAAAAAATCTGTAAAATAAAGTAAATTATAAAATGTAAAATACATAAAATATGTAGAAGAAAATGATAAATATATTAATTTTTGCTTTCAACTATTCTATATGATACATTAAAAACGGAAATACACTGGGATACGCATGCACGGCAGCCAACGACCAACAAAGACAACTTGTCGCTGCGGTAAGGAGATCCCCCGCCGATGAATCTCGTCGGGTTCATCCACGTGGAAGGGGCATAATCAAATTTCGCCCCGCCATGCAAGGGGCGGCGACTCTTGCGGTCGTGCACACTTTCAAGGCCTTTCTGTTTGCCAAGAGGGTGGGACCTGGTCGAGGGCTATTATGGGGCTCACCCTGGGTTCTCTGTGAATATTCCCCTCTCCCCCTTG